GTAAATTTTTAGTGCTAAATCTGCCAGAGTAGATATATGTGTGACTTGGCAAAAACGGAGCATGTGCCGGTGCGGAGAGACCGACTTTAATTGTTTTTGTGATTCCCTTTTTTTCTTTGGACTTTCATAGCGAAACAGTCGCTATCCTCTTTTGTTGTCCGTACGCTGTTGGTGATGATGCCCCGTATGCATACGTTTTAAAGAACATTGCGCCCACAAGCGTGGGTGCATGCCTTTCTCTTCTCTTGGCCAGCAAACGAGCACATCGTCGTACACGAATCGTGGGTGAAGTACCCCCCCCCCCCCCCTCCTCCTCCCCTTTGGGTACTATTCAGCATTGGGTGCGGCGGCCGCGGAATGTTGTAAAAATAGGCCATTTTTGTCTTTGGCGTGGTGAGGAAGCTTGCCTTGTGTGCACAGAAGCGAAATTTTATTTTCATACTTGCTGTCTTTGGTCTAGCGCAAGGTCATGTAGCTACCGCAGTGGTGGTTGGACCCCTGTGTGTGTGTCCCGTGGAATCAGACAGCGGGATGAGGAGCCCCCGTGGAATCAAAGGTTGGGGGTCAGCTTGCTTGCGTAGAAGCTGGTGCTTTTTGGAAGAAGAGCGGGGGTGGGATTGGGATTAGGTGGTGTACGTAGGGGATGCTGGTTCTAGAAGTGGTCATGAGTGCAGCAGCAACCACACAACCGAGAGGTGCTCGGTCTACCGTTAGACAATTTTTTTTTTTTTTGCCCTTTGCTGCGCCAGGAGCAGCATGTCCTGACGGAATTCGGGAATCGTTTGAGTACAGTTGCGCGAGGTTCGGGAGGGGACGGGGGGGGGTGGTCGTCGTGCTCTGCGTCACCCCCACCTCGGTAGCCATCATCCCGCTACAGCATGCAGATGAGCTGGCGTTTCCGTTCGAAGCGTTTAGTTCATGATCTTCGGCCGACTGTCTTATTTATTCTCTTTTAGGTCGTCAGCGGAAGAAGAGAGAAAGGTTATTGCTATTTCCACCATCTTCGTCTTGCCGTCTTGCTTGTTGTCTGTCCTCTGGAAGAATTGTCGGCGAAGAATTGTCGGCGAGCGGAAGAGTGTGTGGTTCCTGTGAGTGTGTGTGCTGCTGGATGCAGCAGATGCAGTCGGCCGATGGGGAGTGCAGAGGCTGCAGTACATGCGTTACAATTGGTCTTCGGGCGCTCCGTGCCGTATGGACGAGTATTTGCTATCTCTTCGTCGTCTGCCAAGATTTTTAGGCCGAGCACCCCCCTGCTGGCGTGAGGAGCAGGAGAGTCGTCTTCCAACTTTTTTTCTCTGCTCGGCTGTGAGTCAGTTGTCGGGACAAGTGAACCCCCGTCCCGTGGCTGTTGTATGGACGATTGGGAGGTTGACTGCTTGTAGGCGGTGGCCGCAATGGTTTTCCTGGCGAAGGCGTGTTTAGCGTCGGGGGGGGGGGGAGGGGGATTGTGCGACTTACTTGAGAAATTGAGTACTATTGCCATTGTGTTTTGCGGTGAATAAAACCCCCTCATAGGAGCAAGAAAGTTCCTTGGATGTGCTTGCGGTGGATATAGGAGACCTGCAGTCAAGACCGTATTTCACGGATACAGAGAAAAGAAGGCGGACGACTGCAAGCAGTCGTTCCGATTTATTTCTCCAGCGTTGTTATTTTTTCTGTCCGGTGCCACTGCTTTGTTGGGAAGATATGTCGGGAGGGAAAACAAATGAGAGGAGGTGTGCTGCGATGCCACTTACAAATGTTTTGTTCGCGCACGCGAACGCGTATGTATCAGAGGTCCGATTGTTATGTATGACGCGCACCACAATTTGATGCGGCGAGATAGGAGCGATCATCGAAGAAGAACCACACGGTACAGTAGACAATTAATATTAATAAATGGGTGTGTTCTTCGGTGGTCATCCAATCCCCTTTTTTTTCCGTCGTGTGTTAGGCCGTGTGTACGTGTCGTACTGCTGGTGTTGTTGCTCACCGCTGCATCAACTTCTTATGTATTACCTACGCCATTCGCGTTTTGGGGCAAGG